GGCAACAACACAATCCAAATCCTAACACCTATTACCTAGGCTAGAGAAACTACCCAAGTTTTCAGTAGAGTAATAATCAGGGTGCTGAAATCGTACCACAACAAACTGCACCACCGAATTTTTAGCAAAATGAGAAGAAGTTTTCATTAGAAGATCTTGTGACTAAGTTGGTAGAAATATCTACTCAACACATCCAACGTACGGATAAAATCTTGCAAATTCAGGGAGCTGCCATAAAAAATTTGGAAAATCAGATGGGACAAATAGCGAAAGCACTTTTAGAGAGACCACCAGAAGTACTGCTTAGTTACACTGAGATAAATCCCAAACAACAGGTAATGGCAGTGAAAGTCGTGGAGGAAGAACATATTGAGGAAATAACTACCCGCAGTAGAGTTCAACTGCCCTAGATTAATGTAAAAAGACCAGTTGCAACAAAAGAAAAGGTACATACCACGATTGAGGAACAATTGGATAAATCTGACGAGAACAAAGAAGCAGAGACAGAAAGAGCATCAGAGAATATAAAGGTTAAGGAAACCGCTCTTACTAGAGAATTGATGCCATCATTACTTATTTCACAAAGATTACAAAAGAGAAAACTCGGTGATCAAATCGAGAAGTTCTTGGATATGCTGAAAAAGCTCCCCATCAACATCCCTTTCATCGATGTAATCTGCCATATCCCGATGTATGCAAAGTTCCTAAAGGATATGATATCTAAGAAAAGAAAACTTCCAGACTGGGAAGAAGTGCATTGACTGAGGAGAGCAGTACAAGGCTACAAAATAAATTGCCACCAAAACTCAAGGGCTTGGTAAGTTTCACTTTACCCATTTCACTGGGCAAAGAATTTCATTTGAATGCTTTATGTGATATGGGTGCAAGTGTAAATTTAATGCCTTTTGTCTAATTTTAGGAAACTAGGAGTTAGGAAAGTCAAATAATCAAATGTGCCACTGCAGGTGGCAGATAAGAGCATCAAATACCCATGGGGCAATGTTGAAGATGTGCTCATGAAAGTAGAGAAGCTAATATTTTCGACAGACTTCCTTGTTATGGACCTCAAAG